GTTTTTGTTTTTATTCCTCAGTTCTAAGAATATTTGGAGCTAAAAGTGCCAAAGAGAAAGTCAATAGCCCCAAAATGTGGCTGTGATAAAAAGTGCAATACATATCATCCCCAAAACATTTTACATTATATTTCTGGTCTCATTTTTTAGATGTACATAACGATTTTAAATGATGCCAAAACTCCTGGGTACTGACCCAAATGTTCACTAAGATCCAGGTCTTTTTTGGTTCACTGGTGTTTAACAGGCATCAGGCCCATTAAATTTAATTGTAACCATATTGTCTCTGCTTAACCGTAAGTGGAAAAGAATGGGGGCCACAAAATTTAATAGTCAGAAGGCTGGTCGAGGCTGGCTTTTTACTGGAAGGTTGTGTACAGCTCTGGGTTCCAAAGGCCAACAGACAAGGATAATTTGGATACAGTTCATTCAAGCCTTAGAGGGGCCTTGGAATATTCATCCAGAAGAGAAAATGAGAAAGACTATTTGTATATATTTTAAAAGATGAGTAAATAAACTTTCATTGAAGACAATAAATAGAGTTACTTTAGAATGAAGTGTGGCATTACTCAAGTTTGGGGTAACAAACTAATTTTCTAACAACTAAAATGATTGGATCCAGAATTGAAAAATTGGGGTAACTATGGATTCTTCTCAGAGATATATAAAATGGAGTGAGTTTCTGGGACTTGGGTTGATTTACGTATCTTTCATGAAGATGTGTGGTTAGATTAGGTATTTTCTGAAGTTCTTTTCCAATTCTAGATTTCTAATACTGGTGATCAAATATATAACTTCTCATAAGTCTACTTAAAGACAAGTAAGTTTAAGTAAATACAGAAATGTGATTAAATAAATTGAAGAAAGTGGCATTGCATTTATTTCGGAATAGAGAAAATGTCATCCCTCTAAATAAACAGGAACCAAACTATTTAACTACAGATTTCCCAAGAGTAAAAGCAAAGAGCACACAGTACAGGAATAGACAATGAGCTCTACTGTATAGCCTCAGAGAACTTATCGTAAATAAGCCCTTAACAGAAAATGCACAAAAAATCAGTTTTCTACAAGGTCACTCACATTATTAGCCCCCCCCCCCAAAAAAAAATTTTTAAAAGGTGAAAGTTTTCTTTCGCGCTTCTCTACCCCCTCATCTCAAGTTTCCAGAATCGTTTTATTGCCTCTGGCTGTTCAGAGTCATTCCTAGGAGCAAGCACATAGTCCCTGCCCTCTCCACCATAAACACCCTTTGCTATTACATTTTCTTAGGCATGCTGTTTTCAATTTAAAAATTTTTTGTACTGTTTTCCATTATTTTGAGTTAAACTGATAAATCTATGCCAGAGGATGATAGATCCTTAACAGGTTACATATCTGTTACTGCGGTGCTTCTCCTGCTGAGAGCCCTAGGCTACTGGTTAGAAAGGGATCGACAGGCATTGTGTTGCCCCTGCAATCCTACCAGTCAGGTGCCCACTTCACCTATGTGATTAGAGCAGCGCAGATGAACTAGTAAACAATCTGGATTTACATGTTGAAACATCTTTCTGTTCTCTTTCTCCTCTACCAAATATAAACAGAATGTATATGTATTTCTAAATTTAAAATTAAATCTTTCAAATATTATTTTATTATTATTTCTGCAAACTTTTTAAAAAATATTTTTATTGATTTCAGAGAGGACGGGAGAGGGAGAGAGAGATAGAAACATCAATGATGAGAGAGAATCATTGATTGGCTGCCTCCTGCAAGCCTCCTACTGGGGATCAAGCTAGCAACCCAGCATGTGCCCTGACCGGGAATCAAACCGTGACCTCCTGGTTCATAGGTTGATGCTCAAGCACTGAGCTACACTGGCTGGAATGCAAACTCTTGAAAAGGTTAAAAAAAATAAGCTACGTTTAACTCATTTAACAAGGATTGCAATACACGATCTAATCATATAAGTTGAAAAGGTTTGTTAATTATGTCTCTATATGGAAAATTTAATTTTCTTTGCTTCATTAATTGACAATAAAGAAAGGTTTTTCAGGGATTTTTAACAGCACTAATGATATCTGATTCCAAGAACACTCACTTGTTTCCTGGGCAATTTCAATATATTAAAGAAATTTGTTTAGTTTGCCAGGATTGAAAGCTGCAATCAATTTTTATTTGTCAAAGAACATATTGCTATTGAGAGCTAAAAGAAGCAATTGCTTAAAAAAGGTCATTTAACATTTAACAAGGTTTTTGTTGTTGTTGCTGTTATTTGTCTTGTTTTGTTTGATAGAGAGTGTTCAGGTAATATTTGAAACATAAGGAATTGTTGGATAGGGCAGAAATATTTGGTACAAATCAGATTATGAAGATTATAAATGAAATCTAGTTTTTATATCTTAACCTTAAATATCATGTGCAAAGCTTGTATTCCAGAACACATAAGCTAACAACACCTAACATTTGTTGCACTTTGCAATTTTTAAAGTGTGTTTACATTAATTCTTTCAATCATTACAACAACCCTGTGAAGTAGGAAGGATGGACTTTATAATCCCTATTTTATAGATGAGAAAATAAAGCTTGTAGATATGGTCCCTTACCCAAGAACACACGTCTCATAAAAACTAGCATCCAGGGTTGGTTGGGTTTCATATGATGTTCTTTTGTTGCTGTTTTTTTGTTTGTTTGGTCCTTATACTTATTTCCTCAATAATCATGGTTCTAGATCATTTTTACTGAGAAAACTATATAAGCATTTGGGTTTTTGCTGCAAGAACCGATCAATAGTTCAAATCTCTGGTTGCCTTACACATTGCTATATACACAGCCAAAGACCGACAGTCCTTTTAAACTATCCTCATTTCCAAAAGCAGGATGAAGACTCAGGGAGATGCTAAAACCACACAGTTCTCCGCGAGATGCTGTTTGCATCTAAGTCCTCTCCAAAGGTGTGTATAAAAGGAGAAAATGATGGAGTCTATAAGGGAACTAGCACACTGCCATCTAGTGATTAGGAGGTCTGATAAGAAAAGGCTTCTGGAGAAAATATAAATTTTGTTCACAGGGATATTAAAATATAATTCCTTATCTACTAAGCAAAGTGGTCTAGAGACAATGGACTTATTTAAAGGTTGGACCTGAATGTCTAGTCACATTTACAGAGCCTTCACTGTGTATTGCAAACTGAAATTTGTAGGGCCAGAATCATGCCATAGGAAATGCATGGGCTCTAGAACCAGAATGATCTGTGTTTGTGTGATCTGTCACTTCCAGTGGAAGGAATTCTGCAAAGATCACCTCACCTCTCTGATGCACACTTTCCTCAACTACAAATGGCAAATATTTGGCATTCAAGAAGCTGTAGTTACTATTTCGGGAGCTCAAATGAGTTCCCTGGTTATATTATGTTCAAACAGTAACAATGCCTGCAGAATTCTGAAAGCTGCTCTTTAGTAGTCAAAGGACATCTAGAAATCAAGATGGGCAAACCTTTTCAAGGTTGGCATAGGGAGGTAAGTTCTAGGACATTATGGAAAAGTCTGCCACTATGAACAAAGACAGTGATGAAAAATTGCTATAAAATTACCTCCAATCTGAGATTTCATTATTGTATTTACTTACTTGTATTTATTTGTAAAGTATGAGTGCGTATCATCTGCACCTCTTATTCACCCAAATATAAGTTAACATTTTTAAGTGAGATAATATATTTCAAAATGATTTTAAAATGCTACAGCACTTTAAAATTGTGGGATCAAATTATGATTCTTTGTTTTCATCAAAAATAAATTTGCTTGTTTTTTTGTGTTTTTTTAAAATACGTTTTTATTGATTTTGTTAGAGAGAGGAAGGAGAGGGATAGAGAGATAGAAACATTGATGAGAGAGAAACATCATCGATCAGCTGCCTCCTGCATGCCCCCTAGAGGGGATGGAGCCCGAAAACCGGGCATGTGCCCTAACTGGGAATCGAACTGGTGACCTCTTGATTCATGGGTCAACACAACCACTGAGCTATACAGGCTAGGCTGCTTATTTGTTTTTTTTTATCAGCTAACCACATTCCTATTTTTGGACCCAATGATAAATATTCTATTCAATTTTTACCTTCTTTTCTTATGTATTTTTCTCTAATAAGAAAGGAATCTGAAAAAGTCAGTCTGTTTTGTCCTGATATTCTTAAAACAGATCACTTACTACAATCTATACTTAGACTTGTTTCCACTATTCAAACTCCTTTTGTCCATCCTTATTGTTTATACCTACAAAAATCCAACACCAAGTCCTGCCTGGCTACCAATTAATCCAATGACCTTTGCTGTCTTACGTTACTAGAAAAAGCATTTAAATGTGAGATTAAAATCACCTCCATTTAATAAGTAAATAATGTTTGTGTATTGCAGATCATTGTTCTTTATCAGAAATAATAATCAGCTTTACTTTTTTACAGGAAATGGAAAATAAAACCTCAACAAATGGATGCAATCCTTCAGAATGGCTCTCAAATGGACAGAGAGGAAAATTGATCTGGTTACTTGTCAATTGCATTATTCAGAGATGACATCATCTGCAAAGCTATATTCAATGCTGGCTCATTGCCCACCCATGACAGCCTTTCATAGATAAAAAAAACCTGTTCCGTAAAGATATAAGCATCTCCAGAGCTGTCATTTGAGCTTTGAAACCTAATTAAATAACTTTCTACCAGCCTCATTAGTAAGCACTAAATCAAATTCTATACAAACTCCTGAACACAGGACAGCGAGTGCTAACAAAACATTTCATAGCATATCATCATCACCAATGTGTTATTCTAGAAGAAAAGCAGGCTGTTGGCTGAGACAGTTTCTATATTTATTTCTGGTTTTGTTTATGATCCACTGTAGAGATGAACCTGTTAGATTGTTGCTAATTGAAATGCAGAATTAAAGTCTTTTGGCAATGACATGCTCTTTGATGTTATTCTAACAATTCTATTCTGTTCCATCAGTGAGTGTGAAACACAACATGCTTCTTTACCTGGCGGGTTGTGTTCATTGAGAATCACAAGTGATGCCGGTGTAGGTCTTCTTTTCCTGATCTGTGAACAACAAAGGCCCAGCTGAGGTCAGTGAGCGTCAGACACTGCTCCAGGTTGCCCTGCAGCTTGCAAAGCTGTCCCATCCTCATCTTTCCCAAAATACAAAAGCAAATATCTGGAGGGCACATAGTAGGTGCTCACTAAATTTATTTTGAAACATAGAAAGTCAGACAGTAGAACTGTCATATATGAATATCACCTTTGTTTACCAAAAAGCTACTACACTTCCACAAAAAAGAAGTTGTTGTATACAATCAACTGATGCCTCTGAAAATTAATATGCACTGAAGGTAGAGGGATGACTTGCTAATTTCTTAATATTAATGATGCTTTAAAGATCCATTGTCCTTATTTCTAAATGAGAGAAGCTTAGAAAACTCAAATTTCTAGCAGGTTAAATTTAACAGCATGAGTTTTTAATTTGAATTAATATTATAAGTTTTTCTCATTTTCTAGTATAGTATTTAGAATAAATCAACAAATAAAAAATAAATATGGATCTTATGAGGGTATGTTATTCATTTAAAACTAATTGTTTTATTCTTGGTTTTTTTCTTAATTTAAGTTATAGGAGTATATTATGATTAGAATCTCTAATATGTCCTTGATTCTTTGAATATATAGGTAAATTCTTGAAGTACATGTCAGTAGGAGAGTAGACAAAATTTACCAATGACATCTTGTCCAAGATAGAACCAATGCCTCATTCCACACAGATGCATGTTCAAGGTTGTATTTAACTGGCCCAAGCCTGGGTGAATCTACTTCAACCTTGTGGAAAATTATGAGTCTCAGATTTAATAATTGTTTTTAAAGCTTTGTATATAATATTTGGTAAAAGATTCGGAGATAACTTAGGTTTTAAGAAATTAATGAATTAAGTTGATGACCCTGTAAATTTCTTTGCTTTTGCATCCTCGCTGCTATAATTTTACCACAAATGATATTTTAAGTGGTTCTGAATATGAAAGGCAATACTACAGATGTAAACCAATCACATGTGAGTCAGAGACAGAGACAAAGAGAAAAATACATAAGGACATAGTATAGATGGAAAAGGAATTCAGGAAATGTTAAAATACTATCTTTAATATCTGAATAAAATGTTTTTTAAATTATACATATACCTACACATCCTATCTATCATATGTTACATATATTTATAATTACTGCTCTGGATATAAAATAAAAACATTAAAATAAAATATTAAGTCTATAATCTGAAATTATTCCAAGATTTAATGCTTTCATTGTTAAATGAATCTTTATCTTTTTATTTCATAAATAATGAAATAAAAGGTTGTTAAATTTTAGAATTTATTTTTAAGTTTCTCTAAATGTTGAACCTGCTATTTTAATAAGCAAAAGCAAAGACATTTTCGGATCCAAATCTGATTTGCTAACATAACCATTTTCCCTAACAGATGCTAATTTTGCATCCCATGAAATGCTGCAATAGTTCACCCAGTGCAACTCAAATACAAGTGCATATGGAAACCAATTTATTTCTCATTCATGTATCCTGGAAATCCACGAAGCTGGGCAAATTCAAGAGGTAGAGAAACCTTCAATTAATAACAAGAATGTATGTCCATGTTGCTTTATATCCAATAACTGGTCCCCACCCAATTCTGCTTACCTGCTCCGCCGCTTCGGGTGCAATCTGACTCTGGAACAAAGGTACAGCAAACTGTATCTTTTTGGGACTGTTGGGCTCCATGGCAATGATGAGAATTAGTCAGACACGTGAAGGACTCAGAAGGACTAACCCCCAGTGGTGTCTGGGATGTGTTTCCTCAGGCACACTCCACCCAGCCACACAGAGCGCTTCCTAATAAATAGCTGTAATTCCAGCGTGAGCAAGTGAAGACGCCGAGGTCTGAGTAACTCCCTCTTTAAAATCCACACCGATGTCTGGTTTGACTGTTCCTCACCAGTCTCTAGGATCTTCTCAGCACAAGACCGAAAGGAATAATAAGCTAATTGTATGCCTCTTCACTAACACACATGCCAAACATTCACTCAGCAGCTAATTGAAAATGCAATGCTAGCCTTGAAGGACTCGCTGCTCTGGGATTTGAAAGAAAGGCTCTATCCATTGCACATTACTAACCGGCTGCTCAAAAGTGCAACGTAAGCTCCCTCTGAGTATTGCAGGGATGGGCCATTCATTATTGATGAATATAAAGCAGGAAGTTTTTGGAGTTGGGGGCAGGGTCTGAGTATGGAATCATTTCATTTCTCTTGCAGCAACTTATAATTCAGACACCCTTGCTATTTTACATTCAGCCACCAAATAGATGAATGGCCACAGAGGGTAAGCCACAACCAATAATATCTGCTGTATCTGGTTAGGTGAGATTAATCATAGCAGGCAGAGCATCTGTGGTGTAGTGAGGACAGCATTGCCACCCGCTGAGCAGATCTTGGTTCAGGTTCCATCTCTTCCATTAACAAGCTCTGTAGCCTGAAGCAAACCACAGGCTATGTCTAGGCCCCCATACTCTCATTAGAAAAATGGGGGGTTGGACTCAATGACCTTTAAGGTCCTTTCTGTTTCAACATTCTACAATTGTAGTTCTACAATTTTCATTAGAGTGGAAATTATTGGATAGCTAAATTTAGCAAACAGCTTGGTCACTGCTGCTGCAATGACCTCTATTTCATTTCCTGGTGGAGTTGGATATATCCTCTGATTTGGAAGAATACAGAAATGACTAGAAAACATTAGTGGAAACATAATGGTATCCAACATTGTGTTTTGTTGTCAATAGTGGGGATATGTGCAAAGATAAAGAAAGAAATTGGGGAAAAATTTCATAAAAGGTGTAACCTCCAAAATGATAGATGGTGGTCCTATTGGCTGGTGGTCAAGGTAGAGAAACACTGCCTGTTCTCCACATCTGTAAATGTTAAAGGGCAGGCAATAACATAGATGGCCTTCATGCATTCGACTCCTTTTGTGAAGGAAGCTTGACAATGAAGCAGCTTTCATGGAAGAAAGTACTTAGTTTTCTACTTCCTTATTTGAAATGTATTGTTGCCCGGCCAATGTTGCTCAGTGGTTGAGTGTTGTTCTAGGAATCAAGAGGTCCTGGTTTGATTCCGGGTCAGAGCACATGCCCAGATTTCGGGCTAGATCTCCAGTAGGGGGCATGCAGGAAGCAGATGATGGATGATGTTTCTGTCTCTTTAACCCTTCCCCTTTCTCTCTAAATAATCAATAAAAACATTTTAAAAGAAATATATTGTTTAATTAATACTAGATTTCTTATATGTTTTTGGATTTATATAATACATTTAGACATTGACTATGATTCCAGTTACTAACAAATGAACTTTTCTTCTTTTTTAAAAAAAATCTGAGCCCATACCAGGAACCCATCTTAATGATTTAAGCATGCAACATTCTGTTGAAAGAACATAGAAAGTAATATGCATTATTCAAGCAGATTTCTACACCCACTAGGGAAAAAAGCAAATGCAGATGTGGATGTGAAAGCACTTTCAGTTGGAGAACAGTGCTGACCAGCAAGAACTTTTGTGATGGGTGCATCCTTGTAGTGTCGAAGGAAAACTTATAAATTACATTATGTGTAATAGGTTAGAAAGGCTCTAAAAGAAAATCTGAATTAATATCATTAATGAACTTATTTCTCTGGATATGTTTTCAAATTATATAAAAGGAAAACAAGGAAGTATTTTTAGTGAGAAATTAATTCAAAACTTTATTTAGAGTAATGATTAAGAGCATGATATACTTGGCAGCCTAGATTTCAAACCCTGGCTCTAATACTTATTCAGTTTATCCACATGGGCAGTAATAGAACTTTCTACTTGTGAGGTTTAGATGAATTAATTTTTTTAAAGAGCTCATTACATGTCCAGCACATGATGCCACTCAGTAAAAGATAGCTGTTACTTTTCCTTCATTAGATAGCAGACTAATAGGTGATAAAGTGAAATTTTATGTATGCATTATGATATAAATATTAACTAAATGATTCTCATTAAATAACTACTCTATTTTGAATAGTTTGACCAGAGATAATATAGTATAAAGGGATTACCTAGCCCCTTTAAGCTTCTTCTTCCCCAGGCCAGCTCCTGGGCATATTGTGGGACTCAGCTCAGGTTTATCACCTCTAAGAAGCTTTTATAGGTTTATTCCTACCCACACTGGGCTTAGACCCACCTCTCCTGTATCCCAAAACACCCAGCATACCTCTACTTAGTACAATAACTACGTGACTGTCTTTTTACTGGTTAGCATTTTGAAATGCCATCCATTCACCTAGCAAGTATTTGTTGACTCTACTCTGTGGCTTTAGAGGATAGACTGTGGTCACAGGTGAGTGAAGTCATTTTAAAGCTAAATTCTTTTTCTAAGAATCACGTAAAATGCAACTTAAATTTGAAATAATCTAAAAATTTTAATGTGTTTATGTGGAGAGTGTAATTGTACTGAATATTAGGTGTACATTTTTCTCCCTATTAGAGATAATAGTAATAGCTAACCCTTATATGACATTTACTGTGTACCAGGCACTATTATAAGTGCTTTACCTGAATTGATTTATCTAAAACTCTTAACAACCCTTTGAGATAGATGTCAGTGCCATGCCGTTCCCTAATTTAAAATGAGGAAACTAAAAATATAAGAGTTTAGTCAATTTGCTCAAGGTCATCCAGGTAATGCATGGCAGGGCCAAGATTCAAACCAGACCTAGAACCTTGGCTTTTAATCATGATGGCCACTATAATATAAGGCCTACAAAGAAGGCACCAGAACCTCTCTCACATTGATATTTCTCTCTCACATTGATGTTCCTCTCTCTTTCCCCTCCTCTCTAAAATCAATTTAAAAAAATATCCCCGGGTGAGGATTTAAAACAATAACAACAAACAGAATAGCTTCTATGCTGCTTTAAATCTTATATTTTTTCACATTCTACACTTATAAGAAGACTCCTCAGGCAAAACTCACGAAATAACCTTTAATAAACTCTAAACCCCCACAGCACTTAAGTATAAAAGTGTACTTGTAGTCACCCTCATGCTTAAAAGCTGACATCATTGATTCATATATTTATTTAGTGCCTAACATATCCTTTTAAATTGTTTCTTAATTTTTCATGATTGCATATTTTGTCTTCCCTAACTCAAACAAATGTTGATTTACTCTAGGATCTTCATATCAATGAATGCTATGTTTATAATATGTGTTGAATTGAAGAATTACTACTGAGTTATATAAATATTCAGGATTTTTTTTTCTCCTAACTATGGACATGGTGTTCTGTTTAATATTTTTCTGGGTCGTCACTCAACTATTTTTTATCTTTGTTTCTTATGGATGTAAGCTCACTAAAAAAGCCAGAAATCAGAGAAAGGTTTTCAGCAAGCTCATATCAGCCATGAGGCTAGAGCAGCAAGTTCCCATCAGAGAGAGGGAGTCTGCTTTGAAGGACCTTTGGACCCATGGGACTTTGTTGATGCCACCATTGGGGAAGCAGTTCATTGGGCAGTCTGAGCAGGGGAGAGTCATACGGAGACAGTCTATCACAGCCTAGTATGGACCAGGCACCTTTGAAATTTTAGACCATGTGGACTGTTACAAAGATTTTTAGCTCAGGTCCAGCAAAGACACAGGAGTAATAAGAAGAAGATATGAGATTTATTCTTTACCCATCCCTCTTTTCATTGGTTTTCATATCTTTCAGTTTTATTCATGGTCATAGTTTAATTTTAGCCTTTCCCTGCCTTTTATTTGGGGGTGATGATTGTTACATGAAATATAGAATTGTAATTAATGTACAATTAATGTATATAAGTGTACAAAATGATTTCATAAATATTATTCATTCATCCAACAAATATTTATTGAATATTCTATGCCAAACACTGGGATATAGACATGAACAAAATAAAGTCCCAACTTTCAAAGAACTTACCATTAAGAGAAGGCAGAATCCTAAACAAATAAGCATCACAGAACTAGAAATGCTAGAGTAGAACGTGGTGATAGGAAATAGAAAGGGACCTGGGTAGGAGGGTGATGGCTGTCCCTGAGCCACAGGCACTTTTTGTTTGCCTTCGCTGTGTTTTTAAAAATTGAGATGACATTTTAAAGCTCATGAAAACAAAGCCATCCTGTTTCTCTTAATAAAGTGGAAGGTCTGGAAAATCTGGGTTCTCATAGCCACAAGGTCGCCATCAACTCCAGCAACATAGAGCTACTTTCTGTAAACATGACAGAGATTTCCACAGAGAGCAAGAGGTTTCATCAGGGCTAATATAGGGTGGGCATGGTATTCATACTAGCTAGTTCCAGTCGATCCCTGAGCCAGAGGAAAAGGCATGACAACATTTTATACCATGCAAAGAAATGCAAGATGTACTGTGAAGGCAATAGGTAGAACTAGAAAAATTTAAGTAAGAGGGTATCATCACTGGATTTGAGTCCTAGAAAGGTCACTGTTGTACTTGTGTGGAGCATAGACTTGAAGGAGTCAAAACCAGAGGCAAAAGCATCTGAGGACATTATAATAATCTACTCAAGAGATGAGAAAAGCCTTAACTAAAGTAGCAGCAGTGAAGGTGAAGAGAGGTAGATGGACAGAATATAGTTATTTAATGGAATTGGATGGTGATAAAGAGAGGGGTGAAAGAATGATGGGTCCAAGGTATCTTATTTAGCAGCTTAGCATACGGGAATAT